AGGCACTAAAGTCACATTATGAAAATGCTAAATGGAAAATAGAAAAAGCCTCTATCTAAAAGATCATCTGAAAATGAGTGTAACTTAAAAAGAAGAGTAAGTCAAAGATTTGAAAGAGTTAGCATTCACAGAACTTTACTAAAATAATTGCTGAAAGATTAGAAGAAAAAGTATAATACACAGAAAGTAGATGAAAATTCAAGAAAAATAGTTAAGAAACAATAGTGGAATAAATAGACTGATTAAAAAGTATTAGGATAATCATTTAAAATCAGTAATAATATAACAAAGACTAATGTGAGAAGTTCAAAAGCAAGGTAGATTAAATTACTAAGTAGTAGTAAAGATGGAAGAGTAAAACTGAAATAGTAATCACTAACTATAGAGAAATAGTGGGAGAATAACATTGGGTGGGTAAAATAAGATAGTGAGATAAATGATTAGAATTCTAGGTAAAGATTATATTTGGATGGTCTATAAGTCAAACAATGGAGTATATTTAATATGAAAATGGGTGGATTTTATTTATTTATTCTTAAGAGAGAAACCATGTTTGGAGATGCAAAACACAGAATAGTTTAGAATGGGGAAAGACTCAGTTAGGCGACTATTGTAATAAGTGTGATGAGAGCTGTTGAAGATCTGTGTCGGGATCTGTCTCTTGCCCGTAAGTAAAAAGGATGAATATGACAGGCATCCCATAGCTAGTATTTAGAGGAATTATAAACTGAAGATGATAGTAGAAGAAGGGAAACAGTGAATGTCTACTTTTAACATCTATCTTTGCAGTAACTCATTATAACAACCACGTGATAATATTTCCTTTTTTTTACAGACAGATCAAATGATCCTAGAAAAGAGACAAATAATTTGTCCAGTAGTCCTATGTGATAAATTGTAAACCAATTTAAATCCAGATTTTAAGATTCCATTTGTTCTAGAAACATAACATACCAGTAAGAGTCCCAAAGAGAATGCTTAGAAGATAACTTCTGAGTTTAATTTGCAACTTAAATAGTTGTGGGATTCAAATCAGATTTCATACTTCTGATTTTTGTTTTTAAAAGGATCGAAAGAAGACAATAGTTGAAAGGAAGTAGCAATGTGAAAAGTTGATATTTAAATAAAATATACATCTTCCATCAAAATATTGACTATGGTAGGCACATGGTGCAATATACAGAGGATGTATCATGGAAATGTACATTTGAAACCTATGTGATATTATTAACCAATGTCACCCTGACAAAGTTAATACATACATACATACATACATACATACATACATACAATATCAGGCCATATTTTTGAGAGAGGGAGGGATTGCAGAAGAAAGATTGGATGGGATTCAAATCATAGAGATAAGCATAGAGTTAATTCAAAGAGATAGAAACAAAGGAAAGAGGAGGAATGCAATAAAGGGACAGTTTGCAATAGAGAAAAAATAAGTTGAAAAAACTCAATCTGAACTGTACATCTTCATGGCCCAGAAAAAAGAGAAAAACAGCCTGCAGATAAACATGGATTTGTCATTGTAGGAAAAAGCAGGCACATAGTAAGGAAAGAAACATTTACCGTGCACTTGCGTTGTGGAAGGAAGATCTGGAAACTGGAATTTTTTATCAACTAAATGTGTTCTGGATGGATAGCTGTCTTACCCGAACTCTTGATACACTATGTAATTACTAACAATAGTCTACACTAGTGTGTACAGCTATTTCAAGGTATTTGTTCTGGGTGCTTTCCACCAACAATGCCAGGAAAGATGCTAATTAATGCCATTTGTGAGAACTGGTGTTGTGATTTGGGCACCTGTTTGCAAAGAGCTAGGCTGAGAACAACTTATTGCCCATAAGCCTGCTAAACAGCTGTCAGATGGACAATGACGTTAATTTACTACTGACTGAGGCCATAGTTGATATTGACCTAGACATGAAAGGCTGGCTTTCCTATCTCTGATTAACTGAGCCATCCAATGCTTTGTGTACTACTTTTATTACAAACAGAAAAAAACACGCCTAAATGTTTTATTCCTCAAGATTCAAGTTAGTACTGTGATACTTTTGTTTGAAAGGAAGGATACATTAGATCTGAGCAAATCAGATCCCTCATGGGCATGGGCATGCGTATGCGTTGCCAAAATAGTTACAAAGCTGATTTGAAGTAGTCAGAGGATGTTTGCCTTGGTAACCATTGCTCTATTCTCTTCCTAAAGGAGACCCATTTAACTCCTCTGTGGCTTGAGTGTCACAGCTGGGATCTGCAATGCCAGCACAAAACTGAAGACTGAATTTTATGACTTTTTTTTAAGTTATACCCTATTAACTTCATTTCACTTTAAAACTTTCTTCACACTCTCCCTGCTGAACCAGACACTTTCAAGTCCAGAAGCTTCACTGTCTCTTGAAGCCAGGCATTTCTCACGCTCTTTGAGACCAGGGTTTGATGATTGAGCTATGGGCTATGTTGATGAGTGAGTTAAGGCAGCTTTCAAGTGTGTCTAACTTAGTCCTATGACCTAATGTGAGCATAGAAGGATATTGACTCATTCATTCATTCATGCATTCATTTAATTTGTTCAATATATTGAGTACATCCTCTAGGTGCAGGGAATATAAGAGTAAACAATGTATACACAGTGTATTTTTTCACAAGACTTATTTTCCAAAGGCAGAGAGGGTGCAAAAAAATAAGCCAAGTAATAGGTGGCACAATGGCAAGTAAGGATGAGCACAATGAAGGAAAATAAGATGAGGGATAATGGTACCATATTAGATAGGGCGTCAAGTAAGACCTCACTTAGGAAGAGACAAAAAAGCATATGGATCTCTATGGGAAGACTCTTCCAGGCAAAAGGAAAAGCAAGTGCAAAGGCGCTGAGACAGGCACAAGCTTCATGTTGAGGTAGATCGAAAAGACTGGAGTGAGTGAGGGGATGGGTGTTAGATGTCCTCAGGAATGGGATTGTGTGGGGCCCAGGCACCATGGTGAGGCCAGGAGCTTTTCTGTTGTGCAGTAGTTTGAGCTAATTATCTTAGGCCTGTGTGATTTCATTTGAATTAAGAAAATGATTTTGTTTTATCCAGAAAGGCGTATTTTTCAAATCTTAGAGGAGACACAGTAACTGAGTCTCCTATAGATTCAATTACATAAATGATAAGTTGCAAAGTTTAGATAAAAACCTGGGCACTACTGGCTCCAAAGGCCATCTGCTGTATTGCATAATAAAGGTTTAGTTAAGATAAAAAAAAATTACTTAACTCTAATAAATTTTTACTGCGCTATTTTCTGAGGCTGTGATTAAGACAGGGAACCTACCCTCAGATTCAGAAGGACTACTGAGGCAGACAGACATATGAGCAAATAATTAAAATACACTGTGATACACGGATGTAGCTATAAGAGAAGAGATAACACAGAGAAGGAAGTTGATTTACTGTTTAAATATTCAGAAGAGCTGCCCTGGTTGGTGTGGCTCAGTAGATTGAATGCTGGCCTGCGAACTGAAAGGTTGCCGGTTCAATTCTTGGTCAGGGCACTAGGGGAAAAAAAAAAAAGGAAATTTAGAATAACCAGTACCAAATCCAAGTGGTGCATAAACATGAGATGATGTAAGGGAGAGGGGTGAAGTAGTCAGGTAAACACATGAAGTTATGGAACCCATTACCTGAACAGAAAGTTGCAAATATCGATAATTTAGAGGACAGATAGGAAAGGACTGACCATTGATGCTATCTATACCAGTCCTTTGGGCTTTAGCAGCCACTGAGCAGAGACTAGGAGAGAAATGTAAGAAGAAAACTGGAAGAAATAAACTACCCGATTGTGTTGTCTTTTAGCCTAGTAATGGAAAAACAATATATCTGAAGATTTTTACTTCACCAAAATATAGTTAGACAGAGTTTTAGAGACTAAAGAAAAGTAAAATATCTAAAGTGGCAAGATATTTTCTTAAATACATTTTGTTTTTGAAAACTCCTAACTTTTTTGATTAGATAAGTTGATTGCCATACCTCACAGGATTTTTTGGCACAAGTCTTAATGGGAAATTGATCACTACAATTATCACACTTTACCCTTTCTATTTCAGTATTTCTCTGGTGTGTTAGTTCTTGATTTCATGATCTTTTGATAAGTTAATTTTATCACAGATTTAACAATGGAATGATGAAGATTAACCTTTTATTAAAGTATATGAATCCTTACTATCACTTTACCCTCTCTTACTTTACTATTCTCTTCCAGTATGAGATACTTTTCTTCTCTTAAACTGTAAGATAAGCCATGAAAATTGACAGCATATTTCTCTGGCCATCAAACTAATTTAAGGCTTGCATCTTAGTTTGTTTTGCTGCTGAAGACCTAACTGAGAGTTTGGTTTTGTGTTGTTTTTTGTTTTTTTGTCATCTTATTTTTTGCTATTAATTTATTCCTTTTTGTAAATAAAGCTAAAGTAACCTACCTTTCTGTCATGTCACAGTAGATCTCTAAAGTTAGAGATGTCTTCTAAAGTTAAAATGTACTTGCGACAACTTAATTTTGCTGCTATGGAAAGATGTGTTTATTTTAAGAAGACGAAAATCATTAAGCTTGGCTCATTAATAAAAATGGAAATTTTGAAGTGTTTATAATCTCCCATCTCTGAGCACAGCTTACAAACAATCTCCATGTTTATCACAGGCAAAAGTAATTTTTATTTTTACTTCAATTGAATATCTAAGTTAATACATACTTTCTCCAATGTGTTGAATTGTGTGTTCTGAGAACGAGATAAAGGCAAGCCTGTCTGCCTGCCAAACTATGTGCGCTCACTAGGTTTTGTATGCTAGATATTCATCTGAGTGTGGGAAACACACAATTTACAGTTTTGAAATACTCCCAAGTGTTGCAAAGCTGTTCTAAAGTTGACTCTCCAATTTTAAACACATTTCTTTGATGAAGATACATAGAGAAATAGTAATGAAGATTCTGATGTTTATTCTTTTCTTTTGACCATCCAGATTAAAGAACACCTTGCTAAGGGGCAGCGAATGCTGGCAGGTGACGGAATGTCCCAGGTGACCAAGACCTTGTTGGATTTAACTCAGAGGAAAAATTTCTATGCAGGAGATCTTCTCATGTCTGTGGAAATCCTCAGAAATGTGACAGACACGTTTAAAAGGGCAAGTTACATCCCTGCCTCTGATGGTGTCCAGGTAAGGGAGACAGTCCCATGAAGGAAAAGACTAGTGAAAACACAATCAATTTTTGGCCCCAAGAAACCAGTGCAGGCAGGAGGGAAAGAGCACTCACTCATGCTTGGGGAAACTTCCAGGTTGCGCTTCATGTACGCTCCGGAGAGGACCTCCATTCCCTTAGTATTTCAACACCCCAGTGCCCTCAGCCATAAAATGCTCATAATGTACTTCAAGGAGATACGGAATGAGAATGTGTGTGAAGTGTTTTGAGTTCCCAGATAAAAGACACTATAGCAAATTCAAGGTTGTATCATGGATATTTTATTCCCACATTTAATATCACCGTCTTGCCATGGGAGACGATTAAAAGCACATTAAGCATAATGAAAGCTCATTAACTATAACATTCAAAGAAGACATACCTTAAGTTTTGTTTGGGGTTTTGCTATTAGAACAGAGAGGCTATATTTAATTTTGTGGAAAATTTATGTGAAAATATAAGGCAAATAGAGAATTGTTCTGGAGAAGAAAATCAGAAATTCAATAGATCCTTGCACCATAGTTTTCTTATCATGGAAGATTTCTGGAGTAGCCTCATTTACTTCCATAATAAACTTTAAGTACTCACCCAATTTCAGTATTGCCTTTACCATTAAAACAAAACTTGTTGACTGGCAAACAAAATATATTTAATGCAACTCTAGTTTGCATATCAGATTAACTCCTTTTGTGCTGTAGGCTAAAATGTACTCCTGCCAAGGATGCTGAGTTGATTTCTGCATTTCCAGCATAATGTCCTTCCTGTATCTCTGCATAAAGTTCATTAAAGTGAAGGTTTGGCAAAATTCCCAGATCAGGTAGTTTTCTTTCAGCCAACTCTACATTTGGGAGTTTTATTTGCATTCCACATGGAAAATGCAGAGGGTTTTATTTGGTTTGATATTTTTGTTGTTGTTTTAATCAGCAATTGAGGGAAAGAGTAAAAGAAAACTTTTTGGAATTATGGAATCATCCATAAATAATATCGATACCCTGATTTTTATAAAGGCACATACATTACTTAAATATATGCATGCACTGTTGAAAGTAACTGCTATGAGAATTATTGGAGCTGCATTCTATATCATATCACCAGTGTCCAGGAATATATTTTTATTGTAAAAATACATTGGAAGGATAGGGTGGGGAGATTACCATCATTTGAGCATTTCAAAGATACTTTTTTTCCTCACAAAGAATGAAACAGCTTTCCAATTTTCAAATTAAATAAAGTAAGCCAAGTATAGCTTTCCCCTGTAGTTCTGCAATACTTCTGTTCATTAGCATTTCCATTAAGAAATGACATTTGAAGTCCTTGACAGAAAATAAAAGTTGTAATTTCAAAACTCCTCAGACATGTGTGCTCATGGTTAAAATATCAAACAGAATGGTGTACTAAAGAATCTCCAGGGCCTTTTCTAAATCTCAAGAGTGTGGGGTTTATGGTTTTAGGTGCTGAAACTCAAGCAGTTGAGATGGCCAGGTTTAGGGCAACATGTTTTGATTGAAGTACTCATTAGAGTGCACTGACTTAAGGAACGATTAGTTTAATCAAAGGCTTGGTTGTGGACATTAACTGATTTAATTAAATAGAGTGATTTGGCTGATTATTTTGTTGTCATTGTGGCATAATCATAAACAGGTTCCTGCATTTCCATCCTACTCTCTCATTAGCTGTCCACATACACCCAAAATTCTGAGTGTATCGGTGTCCTTAACCATTCTCACACAACAGGAGCTACATTGTTCTCTTTCGCTGTTTTCACTGGAGTCTTTTCAGGCACCTAGCATGCCCTCCTCTTCTAGAATTCCTTTTTCTTCCATCTCTGTCTGTTAAAATCCTAGCCCAACTCTAGCAAGTCTTTCTGAATGGCAGTCCAACAAGCCCCAAAATCCATCTGAAAAATGATCTTTCTCTTTTCTGAAATCCCATAGAACATTTTAACTTTGTTATTCTACCTCTTACAAAAATTTTATAATATTTTATATATATATTTATTGTCTTTGAATCTAGTTTATGGCCTTCCTTAATATCTCCTATACCTTACTTAAACTTCAATTCCCTATTTCCAAGGATTCTGGGCATTTCTGATTGGCTAACATCTCAAGCTTAATATGGCATGAACTAAACTCATCTTGAAATCCAAATTTTCTTGCATTTTCTATTTTCATTTAGTGAATTAGCAGTCTTTAAAAGGCTGTAATCATAATGCCATCTTGACATGGGTGGGGAGATGGGGAAGACAGTAGAGTGTGATGACTAAGTGTGCTGGCTCTATAGGCAGAATCCTGAGATTTAAGGTCTTGGTTTTGACACTTGTTAGGTGGGTGATGCAAAAAAAGTTACTCGACTTCTCTGTGACTCAATTTTCTCTTCCATTATATGGGATAATAGCTCCTACTTTATGGTGCCATTGTGAGGATTAAATGATGTATTTAACAGTTACATGGCATGTTGCATATAGTAAGAGCTCAAAAAAATGAAGCTCTTGTTATCCTAGGAGGTGAACAATACTTTGATGGTGCAAAAGCCAGTAGCATCCCTGGGTCGCAGGTGTCTGCTGTCAATGCAGTGTGGATTTTGGTATCTCTCCTACCAAGAAAGGAAGGTCAGGTGTTTGTCAGGCCATCAATGAAGAAAGGATGGCACTGTTTGTTTTTTTTTTCTTTCTTTTCCAGTTGGTATTGAGAAGAAGGGCAGGGAGAGTGTCGAGGAAAATGGGAGTCAGAAAAGAAACGTTAGTCCCTGAGCGCAACACGGCAGGGCCACTTGAAAGTTGGAGGTGTGGATGAGGAGAATATCTCCAATCAATAACTGGGATTCCTGACTCAGTGGGAACCAGGTCATGAAAAGGACCATAGCACAAGCTGAAAAACACTCCAAGTCATAAACGACGGCTGTTTTCAGTATTTAACATCCTGAGAGGATTCCCTGTTGTTTCTCTGTGGTTGAGAGAGCCTTGTACAAGTAACAGCTCTTTCTAGACAATATTTAATCCTTGCCCTTACTAGAAAGGTGAAAATGAGAAATTCAATGCCAAATAACTTCCTTAAGTGGGTGAGATATTAGCAACAAATCTTGCTTCACACATCAACATGAATATACCCAACCATGAGCAAAATTTCTCAGATTTTAGCAGATGGCTGCTGGCTGTGAGAAGCCCACGGTCTCCATAGGAGAGTATAGAGTATGCAAGGCAGTTGGGTGGGAAGAGAAAGAGGGACAGGGATGTTTTAGGAACATATATAGTGCAGCCTATCAACTGGTAAATGTCATAGAATATAAATAAATGGCTGTGGTTTTATTTCTTTAAAACACAATAAAACATCTGATAGGTAGTTTTCTTTTATATTTCTTTCATTTTTTAAAATTCTTACTCAAGTACATTTTTTCATTGCTTGTAGAGAGAGGGAAAATGAGAGAGAGAGGGAGAGAGAGGCATCAATGTGAGAGAGAAACATCAATTGGTTGTCTTCTCATATGTGCCCCCAGCTGGGGATCAAACCCGCAGCCTGGGTATGTGTCTTGATATCAGATTTAACCCTCAGCCTTTTGGTCTATGGGATGACACTCCAACCTACTGAGCCTCATCTGCCAGGGCTGATAGGTAGTTTCTGTTGTTTCAGAATTCCCCATTATTTTCTTCAGAGTCAAGAAAATAATGAGATTTGGATTAGCACAGTGGACAGATAATTTAGTTTTCTATCGTGATTCCATTTATTATCGTAACAAATACCACAGTGTAGGTGGCTTAAACAACAAATTTATTTTATCACAGTTCTGGAGCCTGGAAGTCCAAGCTGATTCCTTCTGGGCCTCTTTCCTTAGCTTTGCATATGGCAACCTGCCCCCTGTGTCCCCATGTGGCCTTTTTCTTTGTGTGAGCCCACCCCTGGTATTTGTGTGTCCCAATATCATCTTCTTATAAGGACACACATCAGTTTGCATTAGGGCCCACCCTAATAGCCCCATTCTAACTTAATTACCTCTACAAAGGTCCTACCTCCAAATACAGACTCATTCTGAGGTCCTGGGGGCTTCAACTTAATGGATTTGTGAGCACCTACAGTTTAGAATAGGGAATCTTGAAGGACTGTGAGAATTTCCCGTTAGCGAAGAGGTATGTGCTAGGCCTCTTCGGGGAAATGACCTGCTATGGCTTCTGCCTATAGTGTTGCCAAGGGTTAACTTGTAATGCACACATGCTTCTTGCACGTGCTGACTTATTGATGTATCAGCCAGGCCTGCCCAGACTTGGGTGCTGGGTCACCACCTCTTTTCTCACTTAAGAAGCACCCCCTGTCTGGATTTGAGGATGATTTTGCCACCCTGAGTTACAATGTTTGCATGTCTTTGCTAGGTTACCTCATGGGAGAAACAACTTAGTATATTTAATTGTATTAGTTTCACTAATTTTTGGCCTTTTATTTTTAAATGAGTACCCCAGGGCAAGACCAAGTTTATGCCCCAAAGCATTGAACATTGGCTACTGCTTCTTTCCACAGAGCTTCCCACGTCTACTGCGCATCAGAGCAGACCCACTCCACTGCTCCTTGCTAGAGCCCTTGATCCTCCACTTAGCCTGAAGAGACTAGTCGCGCTGTCTAAAATAGTTTCCATCCAAGCATTCACAAATTCCATAAATCAATGAAATTATTGTAGAAGATTCTTGGATCAATCAATGCTCCCATGTTGGTTTCACAATGAGTCAGAGTTTCTGTGAGATTTGTGACTAAGAAGAGGAAGAATAATAGATGTATTTAAAAACTGTTGTTTTACACCTAAACTAGGGAATGTTAGGGCATATGTACTTCCATAATTTACTCTCACATTCCTCTAAATCTGGCAGATTGCAACGGTCAAGCTGGGACAGGGTGCCCTGCAGGCAGAGCTCCCGGATCAGGTCAGGCCGTCTAGCCTGCTGTGCACCCTGCTACTGACCTACCTGGCCTTCATACCCCAATCCTTTTGTCCCCCA